TGCCGCCGCCGCTGGGGAGCACGTGGGAGCAGCAGCAGGAGGCAGTGGCGGCGGTGGCGGCGGCGGTGCGCTCGGGGCTGGCGGAGCCTGGCGCCGCCGCCGGGCCCACGCCTCGCGCCCTGCTGCAGCGCCTGGAGGCAGCGGTGGCGAATGGGTGACGGTGCATGCCCTGTGTAAGCTTGCGATGGGCAGCTGTGTGCCAGGCCAGGTGGTGGTGGCAGGTGGTGGTGGGTGGTGGTGGGTGGTGCTAAGGTGGGGTCGATGGGTCAGCTTGAGGGCATCCACCGCCCCACCAGAAGGCCACATAAGCGAGTTGAGAAGGCAGGAAGCCTTGACCTGGCCTTGTCACTGCTGGCACTGCCAGCGAGGGTTGCACACCTTGGTGCGCTCTCCCACCCTCGATTGGTGCCACGGTCCAAACGGAAGAGTAATTCGGGCGTCCGCACTGCTTTGTGAAGACGTGCGACACGCAATGTCGCGCCCCAGCTCGGGCACTGCTGCTACAGCCCCCCGCGAGCCCATCAAAATGGAGCCCACGATCTTGGGCATCTACACCCACAAGGGGGGCACGGGTAAGCGCCTCCAAGGCGCCGCGCCCGCCGCCGCGCCGCCGCCGCCACCCCCGCCCGCGCCGCCCGCGCGCCGCTCCCCGCCGCAGGCAAGACCACCCACGCCATCATGATGGGTGCCATGCTGGCCCAGGAGGGTTACGGCGTGATTCTGGTGGATGCAGACCCCCAGATGAGGTGGGAGCAGCCTCTCAGCTGATCACGCGGCCAGCGTCACGACTCTCTCGGCCGGCACCGCGCGCCCGCGGCGCCGCCAACCTGCCTCTTGCCGGTCCCCTGCCTGCCCCCTGCTGCCCCCGCACACAGCCTCACCACTCAGTACGCCGAGGATGCGCTGGAGGAGACGCTGCCGTCCAGCGACAGCGAGGGAGAGGGGGAGGCATCGGATACCGAGGAGGAGGGGTGAGCGCCGGGCCCGCCGTCTGCTGCCCCCGCCCTCGCTGCTCGCCCCGCGCTCCCCTGCGTGCTCCCCAGGGGCTACGCCTGATGCTGTCCGCCGCCCTCGCGCGGCCGTGCAGCTGGGCGGTGGCGGCCGGCGGGTACAGCGGCGGCCAGCTGGTGCTGCCGGCCATCCCGGGGGACCGGCTGCGCAAGACCGACCCGCTCACCCCCGACGTGTTTGAGGGCATGTGAGTGTTGGGGATGATGCGCGCATGCCGCCCGCCCGCCCAGGCCGGCAGCACGCAGCCCTGATGCTCGCTGATGCTCACTTGAGCAAGCCTGCCGTGCCGCTGGAAGGCCAGCACCGCGCCGCTGCCACCGCGCCGCCGCCGCGCCCGCGCCTCCCGCCGCCCCGCAGCAAGCAGTGGTGCGAGGGCAAAGACAACCTGTTTGACGCGCTGGTCAGCACCGTTCTGGACAAGTCGTTTGTGGCCACCCCCACCAAGGTCAACACAGGAGACTACAAGGGGCGCCTCATGCTGCTGCCGGGTGAGCGATC